ACACACACACACACACACACACACACAGCACAGAATATGCAACATTCACAACAAATTATCTGATATTAAAACTTCTCTGTAGTACAATGTTTTTAAAAGTGCGCTTTTCCGGGAACCCAAAGTGACACATTATTATAAATGCCTTGAGAAAATAAGGAAACAATTACAGAATCGTTCTGTGGGTTTTCGCCGCTTTTCCAAGACGTCCGCGCCGAAAGCGCCATCTATTTCCGTTGTGTCGAGAGGTTTATGTGTTGTGTTGCGATTTTCTTTGGTGTTGTGTCGGGAAGTTAAATGTACGTGTCGTGTTAAAATTGTGTTGTGTGTTGAGTGATTTTGTTGTGTGTTGTGGCACTTATACGCTTCCATAGACTTGCGCCTCTTACGTCAGTCTCTCAACGCGCGACAGAGATAACAGTTTCAGTTGCGGTGAACCAGGACATTTTGCGCGAGAATGTCCGCGCCGTGACCTGGGAAACAGCAGGATATATCGGGGCCAGATTTTTGATAGAGCCCATGCCGTAGAGAGGTCTAGGGAGCCTGGAGCCCAGCCCCAAGGGGAACGGAGAATAGCAGTTAATTTTACTCCTTCGAGGGGCGGGGCGGAGGGAGGTAACGGGTTAGCACAGCAAAAGCATGCATTGATAGGTAAGAAAAGATCTGTAGTTGCAGTGTGTAATATTAGGCCATTTAATATTTTTTTCTCTTTTTCGGGCCTACTGGACTCTTGATCGGGGGTTGGCCCTTTGCCTGGTCAGAAATATTTGTGTTAAAACATCCCATGAAAAACAGTTGTCTCTCTTCTTAAAATCATAAACGCCGTTTGGATCTTCACTGAAGCTGTCATGTTTTTCTTCTCACCTTTGCTCTTTCTTTATCACAATAAAGGTTATCCTGTCACTACGTAGTGAAACATTTCTTTTGCATTTCTCTCATTCAATTCTCTTCCTTGTTTCTTTTAAGTTACTGTTCTTTTCGCGGTCCTCCTTTGACATGTCGTAGGTATAGATGTATTTACTTTTGTCCTTATAAGATGCGTAAAACTTCTTCATAATTTTTATCTTGTCCTCCATGTTTTCAAAGTGAACAATCAGGGGCCGACATTAGGACATAATGCTCTTCCCACCTGTGGGCTTTGTGCTTTTTCACCTTTCCTTTTCGGTTTTTGTGGGAACTCCTCACTCGCTGTGAGAAGGCATAGCCTCTTGCATATGTATATATCATGTTACAAGTAATCTTCTTTCCGGTAGCTCTCCTTTTCCGGTGTTCTGAATATACATGTTATATGCTGTTATTCGCTCTTGATTCACTGTCCTTTAATTATTACATAACTTTTCCATTAGTTGATTATCGCTACTTTTTACATTATAAATTGACTGAGTTTTCACCTGAAACATTTTGTCTGTTCCCAATAGCAAATTTATCTATTCCTTCAGTTGACTAATTTCCGTTGTTGTCTATTGTCTAAAGCTAGACAACTTGTCAATACTTGCCTTACTGTGCAGTGCTAATTCTACTTTTGCGGCCTTTCCGCGATTCTCATCAAGAAATCGTTGCAGCGTTCCTTATTGTCCTTGTCCGTTTTTTACCGCTTGCAGTGTTTTGTTCTCTTTAAAAGGTATGTATCATTCAGCGCAGAACCAATGCAATCTGGCCTGTCAGTAAAAACTTGGTATGCGTTTTAATTGGTTTTAAGGAAGTTGAGAGAACCGAATATCACACCTGTCGCATTGTAGCGCCAACTTCACGTCGTTAAAACCTATTTTACATTTTCCACACAATCCTTCCATCTACTTGTCCGTCATCTTCTTCCCGCCCTTTCCACGTGATTTGTTCACTTGCTTTCTGGACCTTCGCCTTGCGGGAGTGACGTCATTTCCTGATCCTTTAATTGACTTTCTCAAAATATCGATTGCCTGCTACGGCTTTGTCTCTCCGAGGGTGTAAGTATAACGGCGTTCTAATCCTACTAGATAAACTAACCTTCAACGTGCTTTGTGGATATTTGATACACTGTGGGGCAAGCTTGCAATTTAGCTGGTCAAGATATATGAACTTTTCAATTTGACCGCCTTATCTCACACATTCGCAATATTATACTATATGTTATATAATATGCGTTATCTACATATCCTGATGTTTGAGTTCAATGTTGACTATCAAATATTGCCTTAACCCAATCTATGGACGAGAGAGGTGGGAATGTTACCTCGAGGTGAAAGGGGGCTTCACCAGTTGTTGCAAGGCTAACATAGAGCACATGTAGATGCATGTTTAAGGTTATACCACTATTCAGACTGGGGCCACCAAGAGTAAGGAGAGGCTTAATTTGAAGTTCATCAGGATGACGCCCGTCCCACCTGCCACAGGTGCAAAATGTATAAATTGGAATGCATAGATAACTCGTACTACCCCTGAGTCAGAGCTTCCAGTGAATACGGTGAAATCTCGGGAAAGGTAAGAGATTTACAGGGTCATAACTCTCAGTGAGAACTACATGTAGTCGTTTGGAAAAAGTATTCCGAACACGACAAGGCTCGACAATAAAGGGTAAATTTTGTCATAAAAATCATTCCCAAAGATCTAAATGTCCTGTCAGTATATGTATATACTTGACTTTTTTTACACGCTAAAAACCTTAACAATGCAATACATACCCAGATATTTATTATTTTTACATTTGTTCAGGACAACAACATCGAATTCAGTTTCGACAAAAGAACATATCGTATAATGAAACTCGTTTTATTATAATTATTATCATTTCATTATAAAGAACAAAAGTGCAATATTGACTGCATGCCGATATTCAAACAATATTTCTCTTTTACTTATGGGGTAACGCAATATGACATAAAGACTGCCTTCATTTGATGAACAGCAGGCACCATAATCTCCCTCTCTATGTTTGTCTTTCAAGTCATAATGTTATCGAATTGAAGATATATGCGCATTATCTTTGAACTTTTTGACTTCGGTGTTGTAACGGTTTACCGTTACACAAGATAGTGTGTTAGGCCCCATTCCCATAGGCACCACCGGTCTACGTAGCTCGATCCAACTCTGCTCGGAATCGCGCCGATCTACATAGACCGATCGATCTTAGGAGGCATTCCCATAGATTTTAGATCGATCTATCCCCGTGGGGAGTCTCACTAGATTATTGTCAGATAATCCGGCTTTAATGTCCGTCCCGCCTACTACAAGCTGTAAGAGGGTAATTAACTTTCGAGCCCGCTCGGCTGACAGGTATTTAGCGTAACCCTCAGGGAGATAGGTCGATCTAGTTGGATCGATTTAATCTCTGGGAATGGGGTCTCAGTCATGCACATAACCTGTTACAACCCGCTTTATTTTTTGGATCCTATTTAATAGCAACTTGTAGAGGAACTAGATGAACCCGGTTTATTGTTTAATTACAATGATTGCGTGCCTTGTGTTTGTTTGTTGTACAAACCAAGATGGTCTTGGAGTCAGCGGACTCGTTAAGTAAAAGGCGAAGTCAGTATTTACTCCACGTGTTTGGCTGTTATACAGACAAGTTGCATATTAATAAAAAGCTTATTTAAATGGCTTTTTATTTCATATTCTTACTTTCTCATGTACTAATTAGGTAAGGAGATATGATATTTAATACGTTTTCTTGATCTGATCTTTATACACTGAAACTAGAAGTCCACTACAAATGCATTTGTGCAGACAGCATGGTCCCTTGAAGCATCAGCAGGAGTTCTTGAAGTTCTTGATATGCGCCTATTTACGAAAATATCCTAATTTACAAAATTACCACCTCAGCGATACCCCCTACTATCACCCCATTTCCATAGATTTTTAGATCGATCTATCCCTGTGGGGAGTCTCACTAGATAACTGTCAGCTTGGCAGGCTTAAGCGTCTGTCCCGCCTACTAAAAGCTCTAAGGGGGTAATTAAGGCTTCATTCACATGCAATGTCTATTTTCTAAATTCTATTTTCTATTCGCGCTATCTTATGATCACGGTCTGTGCCCTGAAAATCCCGCCGCGTAATTACTGGCAGCGCGAGCCAGTTACTTATAGTAACTTATAGTAACTGGCTCGCGCTGCCAGTAATTACGCCGCGGGATATTCAGGCCACAGACCGTGATCATAAGACATACCGCAAATAGAAAATAGAATTTAGAAAATAGATATTGCATGTGAACGAAGCCTAACTATGGTGTCCGCTCGGCTGACTGCAATTTAGCCTGAACCCCCAGGGAGTTAGGTCGATCTAAAACTTAATCTTTAGATCGATCTAAATCTCTGGGAAAGCACCCTATGACTAAGACTCTTGTTTGAAAACGGATCTGGTATAATGAAATCCCATGCAAGCACATTTCTTCAGACAAAGTATAGATCTACCGAATAAATGCAATCTTTAGGGGTTCTAATTAATTTTGAAACGGGTCGAAATCTTTCTCTGAAAAAAACCTAGTACGCATTATATCTCCTTAAATAACTATTATGTAGTAAAATAAATAAGGATATGAAATAAAAAGCTTTTGGAATAAGCTTTTTATTAATATGCATTTCCTAATGTTGGTACATCTAGGTCCGTACAGAATATATCCACGTTTTTGCCGCCACCCTCTGCGCTTGACTATTTTCCTAGGCTGAACCATGTTTGTTTACTAATTCTTAATCCAGACGCCTTTCAAATTAGCCTTGTATCTGAAGCACAATGACGCCTCTTTTTTAAAATAATAATAACAAATGTGCACCGTTTTTTTCATCCAATTCAATCGCACTTTTTTGTTTAACGTAGTAAAACAGACAAATCCTAGGCATACACCTGTTTGTTAATCATTACCAGAATAAACAATTTCCTTTTTAATTAAGTAAAATCTACATAAAATTTAATTGAACCAATGGCTCCTTACAGAAAGATAATATAAATAATATCTCATCTATGTTTAAAAGAATAGTTACTTGTACTTAAGAAACGGTCTGTTTCTAGGGCATAGAGTATATTTTAGCACGTGTTTGCACACTTACACGTGTGAACAGATGACCAGGGCGGTGTGGACTATGTCAGCTATGTATCCAGGCACACACATCTGGCTGCAATTATTGTGGATTGTGACTGGGTTCCCATCCCTAGATCGATCTAACAGGATCGGTCCATCTCCACGAGGCCCCTCGCCAAATTGCTTTCAGCCCAAGGGACTTACACCCCATTCTCATAGATTAGATCGACCTACATTGGATCGACCTAACTCCCTGGGGGTTCACGCTAAATAGCTGTCAGCCGGGCGGACACGAAAGTTAATTACCCCTTAAAGCTTGTAGTAGGCGGGGACGGACACTTAAGGGGGATTATCTGACAGTAATCTAGTGAGACTCCCCGCGGTGATAGATCGATCTAAAAGTTGTGAGAACAGAGCCTTAGACCCCATTCCCATAGATTTTAGATCGATCTATCCCTGTGGGGAGTCTCACTTGATTACTTTCAGCTTAGCCGGCTTAAGCGTCTGTCCCGCCTACTAAAAGCTGAAAGGGGGTAATTAACTACCGTGCGCGCTCGGCTGACATCAATTAAGCGTAAACCCCCAGGGAGTTAGGTCAATCTAGATGGATAGATCTAAATCTATGGGAATGCACTCTTAGACTCTCCATTAAAGCTGCCAAACGAATTAGTTAATTACCTCCTAACAGCTTTAGTCGGCGTGACAGACATTTAACCGGCTTGAGCTGATAGAAATTAAATGAGAACCCCCTCTGAGATAGATCGATCCAAAGTTAGTAGGATAGAGACCATTCCCACAGATATTTAGATCGGTCTATCCCCCTGAGGAGTCTCACTAGATTGCTGTCAAGTTGACCGGCTTAAATGTCTGTCCCGCTTACTAAAAGCTGTACAGGGGTAATTAACTTTTGTGCGCGCTAGGCTCCCGGAAGCTGACAGCAATTGAGCGTGAACACACAGGTAGTTAGGTCGATCCAGATGGATCGAGCTAAAACTGTGGGAATGGTATTTATGCTACTATTTCTATTGAGGTGGTATCAGTGTTCAGTCAACCAGCATTTTGTTGCTGAAAAGCACCAGCGTTGTCTCTTAGGTGTACAGTTGAACAGTTTTATCCGCAACACTTGAAGAGCACTATCTTTGTTAGTTCTGTTTCATATCAGTCTTTTATTTTTTAAGAGCAGGGATTATTTTGCCTACCCTTTGTTACATGGAGAATCAACATTATTTTATACCTTAATCTCATAATACCCCATTGTGTTTACTATGTATTATGTTAATATATTTTTGGTTATATTTTATGGACAGAAATGTATTGGGGGATGTATGCATGGTAACTTTATTTAACGGTTATTTTGCTTATCCCCCTTTTTTAACTTCGTACAGTATTACATTTTCGTCATTTTGATAAAAGACAATTATCAGTCATATGGATTTAATTTGGCGACAAAAATGAAATCATTTTATTTTATTCTCCAGAATCTTTATTGGGGGAACCACTGACGGGAACGATATGCCTGCAGCAAAGAATGATTCATACTCCCTGACGGCACTTGGCGAGCCAACTTCAGAGAAAGAGAAAAACGCCCTGTCAGAAGAGCAACATGGTTAGTAATGAGGGCTGGGATGAAAATTGTTTATTTTACTCATGCGTACACGAAAGCTTGAAACGTGTTTCCTTAGACCGTTTAAGTAGTTGGTCGTTTTATCTCTACGAATATCAGATACAAATGCTGCGCCTTAAAAACATTTGCATTAAATAAAAAAAAGTTCTGTGGGGATCATATTTTACCGCGCTGAACGTGATACTTTAGCAAGATACCCCTTAGCGTCGTATGTTAACGTTAACTCAAGGCGGTATTTGAGGAAAGTTAGGACAGTAACGCCATCTGCCAGGGCAACAGATTTTTTTCACTAGATATTCACAGATACAATGTATGCCACTGGCTACAGCACTTCACGCGACCAATTACATATTTTTGGGATATAATTCTCACATTTACACTGGCAGATCTCGGGGAGGTGCTCAGGGGGGTCCTGACCCCCTTCGATTTCTGAAAAAAAAAAGACACCAAAGGTTCCCTCTTTAAATAAGAATTTTGACAAGCTGAATCAAAGTTCTAAACCGTACCAAATGGCACCGTTCACCCTCTAAAATACCACAAATTTTTCGCTCCCCCCCCAACAGGCCCCGAACCCACGGGCTGAGGGTCGGCTTCGCATCCGCGGACCCCTCCTTCAAATAATCCTGAATCTGCCCCTGATTTATGTATGAGGTCTTTTATAAACAGCCCAAGCTATTGTTATATGCTGGTCATAATATTAAGACAATCCTGATCACTCTAATGCTACTGCACAAACTGGTGCACGTCGTACTCCTGTACCACCACAGTGAGCGACTGCAATTCAAAGGATTTGAAAATTGTGCCTCCTTATGCTATGATCGATTTTATATGGAATTAATACAGCTGCGTACATGTCACTATTAGATATGTGCTGCCTTTTAATCTCCAATTACGTCATCATTAACGATCTTCTCTTCATTTACAGTTCCGTTCTGGACGTCGTGTCGAGTTATACTGTCCTTGATGGGTTTTATTGGCATGATAAACGTGTATACCCTGCGTACAAACATAAGTTTCGCCATAGTTTGCATGCTGAGGCAGGATGGTTCAGTCTTCCGTCCAGGCCAAAATGGAACCAATACGACGATAGATGGCGCAAGAAATGGAGAAAATGCTTCCATTGGCGGCAGTGATTTAATCCTTAATTCTTATGGGAAGATGGAACTTAGTGACCCCCGAGGAACATACGTAAGTGGCATCAGTATAATACAGTGTGTACAATGTATATTCCCGCGTTTTCTCTTAAGAAAAATTGGATTTTTGAGTAGAAGTATCATATCAAAATGACCATAGTCTGTTACAAATCTTTAGCAAACAAAACTAAGTTTTGGTTTTAAACAAGGATTTATTCAGTTGTCTGACATGAAACAAATTCTGTAGTATCTTGCACCACGGGTAATACTTTATATACAACTGGACATATAATAGTTTGTGCCAACCATTTTGCAGGAAGGTGAATTCGACTGGGATAAAAACCTCAGAGGCACAATATTGAGTTCGTTCTACTATGGGTACATATGCACCCAAATATTTGGTGGCTGGCTGGCGGGAAGATATGGCGGGAAACACGTGTTCGGCGCAGCGATGGCCATTGTGTTAGTGATGACGGTTGTGACGCCGATTGCGGCCAGGACAGATCCCGCTCTTTTGATAGCAGCACGTGTTCTGATGGGGCTAGCGTCTGTAAGTTCCACAACCAAACATGATTAAGCGTTAATTAAGATATAAATGTTACTTTCTAGCAATTTAGTGGGGGCAATATTTTGTTCATCCTACAAGAAGATGCCTGTCCACATGAAGCAACTAGTTGCTGGCGCCCTTTTTTATTGACACATTAATCAAGGAATAGAAATTACATTCAAGTTTAATGATAAGAAAGGAAAGAACAAGAAAATTTTATTTTTAGTCTGGGTTTTCGTACCCATACTGAAATAAGCAATCCTCACTGTGTTTTCCAGGGATTTGTATTCCCGGCAATGCATGCAATGTGGGGGAAATGGGCGCCGCCATTAGAGAGGAGTAGGCTGATGACCTTCTGTTATTCAGGTACGTTTTTAAAGAGTTATCTGATTCCATGTTAAAGAGGAAAAATAAAATTAGACTTTGTGTCGCAGTTACAGTATATATGTGACAAAAGGTGAGATAGCCCCTAATAATGCTAGGACATGATTGAAAAGGTCAATAATATCGAAATTTAATTCTGCTGTCTATGCCTAACATGTTATGTTGCAGGCCCTTTTGTTGGGATCGTAATCTGTTTATCGATTTCCGGATTACTGTGTGAGATTCAGCTGGATAACGGATGGCCATTTATTTTTTACGTTTACGGTAAGTTTTATTTTCTAATAACAAAACATTAGCAGGTAGCGAGAAACAGAATTTTTATCCTTTTTTGATTCCGTTTTCAACAAAGATGCCCATGTAATTTCCTTACATTATTCCCATTTTTTGTTAAATTTGTTTGTCTCTTTTGCTTTTTTATCTTAAATTCAATGCAAGTTCTACGGATCCAAGAACTGTCGTAGAGTTTATCCAACCAACTATTGTGTTCCAAACTCGAGGTTATTTACTAAAAGACTACTCTTTCTTCGCTTGACTTAAACTAAGTCTACGATAACGGTAGTTTTAATTCATTTTTTAAAGGAAAAATGTAGTATCTAAGCAGTTAGCTGTATCTTTGTATTGTATTGGATTATTTTACTCTCTATTACATTAACCATGGTACAAAGGTACATGGCTGTGTACAGAGAAAATTGGAAATTGCAAAAACAGTTTCTTAATTTTACAAAAATAATAATAAATACCAGGTGGCCTCTGTTTCATCTGGTTATGCGGGTGGTACTTGCTCGTGTTTGACTCCCCCGCCAGTCACCCAAGAATAAGCCAAGCGGAGAGAGAGTACATAGAGACAGCCATTGGTCATCAACCAGGAGAAGAGGTCAGACGAATATTAATAAAAGCGGTGTATGACCGCATTTTGCAACTGAACACTTTCTACAACGCAAGCATTTTGCAACCAAAGGAAACCCCAATGGACGCATTTTGCAACCGGCTGTTTTTTTTTTTTTTTGTTTTGTTTTTTTTTTTTTTTCTAAGTCACTCAAACGGCCATGAGTACTATCGTGATGTTTAGTGAGAAATGAATGGGGTTGCCTTGATCCAGTGCGCCGAATCTGGTGGGATTGAATGAGGAACTTAAACACTTGGGTTTTGATAAATATTTATCAGGAATGTGCATAAGCCCTTTTGAAATTTAAAGCGAATAAGGGTGGCTGATTCTAATATTTCACATTGTAATTTCCTCCCTTTTTTTCTAGACCATCAGTGTGACGAACGTGTCCTAGCACATCCCTGAATAAAGTCTGTTTATCCCAAATTTTTAAACATACTCACTGCAATGATTTATGAAGAAGAATGAAGACGTTTAGCAGAAAACCAACGTGCAAATATGGCATCATCTACAGCCAGTGGCGTGAAATTTCCAAATGACCTTGCACTTCCCTGATGATAGGTTTATCAATCCCCAAAATTCTAAGTCCCTTTCTCAGCCACACCAGATTTCGGATACGGCATCATTCATATCTCACTTCTATTTATCTTTATTACTTATAACCGTTCCAGTGACTAAAAAAAGGGGGGCTGCAAAATGCGTTTTGGTTGCTAAATGCGTATTCAGGGTTTTCTTTGATTACAAAATATGGCCCTACAGGGGATTCCATACGTTATATTTAAAGAGTACATTTGAGGAAGAAGCCTTTTTGTCAGGTTTTTGTCAGGTTTTAAATATTTATCTGAATATTGTCGCATTAAAAACACTTTTAGAACAAAAATCATTTAGGTTGTTTTATTCAAAGGATGGCCAAGTGTTTATCGTTAAACCTCACTTCTTTGTAAGTTGGTTTCCAAATAGAAACCCTCTTTGCAGAAAGTACCAGTCCCGTGGTTGGCAATCGCCAAGTCCCCAGCCGTCTGGGCCATCATAGTGGCGCACACCTGTGACAACTGGGGCCTTTACACCCTGTTGACCAGTCAGCCTATCTATATGAAAGAAGTTCTGGAGTTTGATATAAAACAGGTAAGGGAGGTCACTCTGGTCCATTAAACTTAGGCAGCACTGATATTGATATTGATATTGATGTAAAAAAAGGAGGCCAATATATTTGTGTTTTGGTGCCGCTGCTTCTCTCATACTTGTAGAACTTACACGGGTGCTTGTTACCAGCCTTTTAATCAACATTACAAATGAATTTCATTTTAAAGAGAACGCCATGGACGACGAGAAAATACTGTAGATATAGATATATATAATCTATTCTACATGTATTATGATAAAAGGTATAGGACGTGAAACACGCCCTTCCAACAGTAGGTACTAATCTGCTTGCCTTTTATCAGAAGAGATTTATTTTCTATTACATGCACTATACACAAACATGACCACTGTGTAATTTAAATTAAGTGAGAGCAAGTATATTGACATTACTAGCTTGTACCTTATTTCTACCGGGAAACCTTCTCTTTGATTCTCCAGAATGGATTGTTCTCCGCTTTACCTTACGTTGTCGTGGTTTTCGGTATCATACTCAGTGGCCAGGTCGCAGACCAGCTAATACAGCGTGGCATACTAAGTGTAACGCGGACTAGGAAACTCTTTCAGTCAATTGGTGAGAATCATAGTGAGCATCATGATTGAATGGAATGTAACGAAATACGATATGCAATTAAATTTTTTAGATTTTTTTTTTTTTTTTTTTTTTTGGGGGGGGGTTATCATTTTTTTAGATGTTTTTCTGGGGTGATCATTTTTAAGTCGACAGTTTTGCTTTGCCACCCACGAAACAATTACGTGTAACAATACCAGATGATAGTTATTATGTTTATGCCATGTATGATTATTTGAGTGTACCCAAGGGTAAATCAGAACGGGGTATAAGGCGGAGGTATTGGTGATGCAAGTAGCATTTTTCTTCATTTTTTCACTTTTGTTTTATTTTTCTCTGTTTTGATTGTTGTTTAATACATTTGTTATTACAATTTTTCTTTAATTTTATTTTAGGTTAGTTTTTTATATTATTGTTTTTTAGAAATGTATATGCTTATTTTACATTATTAAACATATATAAGGCGAAAAACATTTCATAGCCGCGCACATATCATAATTAAATTTTTGGTCTTTGGTCGGAGTCAACGAATAAAGGTTACAATGTCACCATTTACTAGTAGGCTTACCTCTCTCTGTTTTAGGCGGATTTTTCCCTGCGATCTTTATGCTTGCCACAGCTTTTGTAGACTATGACACCAGAATGCTGGGCGTGGCCTTTTTAACATTGGGAGTTACCTTCTATGCGGGAACCATGGCAGCAAATCAAATAAACCATGCAGACATTGCTCCTAGGTGAGATAAATGTACCCAAAATCTTCATTTTAAACTAGACCAAGATGCTCAGTGTGACTTTTCCGTATAAAACTAATGTTAAACTACTTTTCCTTGGGTACAAAGCATTTTTTCCGCATTCATCTTTTCTGACACTTGCCATTACTCTGTGACCATCTTGGAAAAACGCCTGAGCGTAGTTTTTCAACCTCTGCCTTCACTTCTAGCACTGACTTCTGAGTTTCACTCGCTTCAAAAGTGTCAAGATTGTTGACAGACGACCAAGTTCATTGCATTTATCTGTGATTACATTGTGCATCTGTTTGTGAGCATGTACATTGTAGAAATAAAAAGAAATGCCTTGCAATTGTACGAACTTTTCAATTGTTTATTATACAGGTTTGCTGGTGAAATATATGGAATCACCAACATGGCTTCTACACTTCCGGGCATTATATCTCCCAGCATGGTCAGTGCCCTTACGCCTAATGTAAGTGTTATATTACCCTCAGTTTTCCTGTTATTATCTTTTTGCAAAAAAAAAAAAAAATGTTAGAGGTATAACTGACTTTATCTATATTTAAGAACTAAGGAGGAAATTACTGTTTTTAGTCTTCATTTTTGTATTTGTTTATATCGATCTTTATGTGTTTATTTTTCAAATCCATGTATTCATTTTTTATTTGTTTTCCTTATGCACATTTATCTTTTGTGTAGGGTACAAGGGAAGAGTGGCAGCGTGTTCTGTTTATAAGTTGTGGTGTATACTGTTTTGGCGCGCTATTTTATCTTATATTTGCGAGCGGTGAGGAGCAGCCGTGGAGCAAACCGGAGAAATTGCGTTATGAAGGCGAACAGGAAGAAAAAGAAAAAATGAATGTTGAAAATGAAGATGATGATGATGACCAATCGGCAGTATAACCCTCATGCAATTTTTTTTTGGTCGTGCTTTTTTAAGCCGTCTACATTGTATTTTATCTTTATTATATTTCCTGGTGTTGCGGTGTGGTGTGGTGTATTGTTTAAGTTATATTGGTATAGCGTGTAGAATTTGGAGAGGCGGTTCACAACTTAACTCGAAAGCGGGAGCATTCCATGCCAAAGTATATATATTAATATACATTTTTCACGACACCTTCCAGAGTGGATTGCATTATATTACTTAGAACCACATTGTACCGTGTAGTTATTGTGCTGTGTTGTTAAATATTTGTTATATCAAATAAGGACATACTAGTATAAACCACGAATATCAAGCTAAATATCATGTGAATGACAATGCACTTTAGTGTTGCCTTTTGCTCCGTTAGGTCCTATTATACTTATTAAATATATACATGTCGATGTGACTTTCTTATATTCTACTGTTTTGTGGCAATCCCTTATTCAGATTGCTGTAATGTCTCTAGTGTGATTTGTTTCGCATTGTTATTATGTGATCTGTTGTATTGTATCACGATGGAAGACCTGTACCTACATTGTATAGCAGACAAGCCCACCTACGCCTTATAACTTCGGAGGTGCGGTACCCCTTTCACCCCCCCTCCGACCTCCCACTACAATAAATTCGAATAAGGAACTAAACGCAACAAGCCCAAGACATGTTCTCTGTACCTTGTGAATGATGGAAAATTGCAATCGACTTCTGTTATTTTATTAGTCTGTCAAACATTTTATGCTAGTGACCATATATATTTTTTGGGACTTGAAGATTTTACAATACGTTATATAAGTCGATGCAATTCTTAGATGCGTTAAGTCAGATCAAATGAAATAATGAAATTGAATGACAATTATTTGAATCGTTTAAATGAATTTAAATTATATTTGTCACATTAAGGATTTTTTTTAAATTAAATTTTAAAATGCATCAAGTGTAGCATAGTACACTATGCTGTGAAAGAACGAACTGAATTGTACTACATCGTACTACACATTTATCACATGATTTTTATGAACATTATATGAGGCCATGTCATCGTTTTATTTAATTTTTTCACAGTTTTACCTATTTTAAAACGCACAATTCTGTGAAAAATAAATTTAGAAATTGAAATATTAAACAGCTTGGAGTTGGTTGAATACGGTTCAAATTATGATCTCTGTAAAAATTACACAGTAACAATTGCACTTTTAACTCCTTTTTATTAAAATATAAATTTACTGAAAGTAGAAATAAATCCAGTATTCACAGTCACAACACTACACAACATAAACATTAACAACAATGTTTACATGTATACAGGTGTTGTCAGAGGAAGATAAAAGGAATAAAAACTATTCGTATGAGATCCATATTACAGAATAAATACAATGTAAACAACTCAGAAATATAAAAAAGACTATTTTACCACCAAAGCGGCGGTTATCGCAAACATTCTGGAATCTGTGCTTGCTATCGGACCACTTGATTCCCATAGATGTTTTCCTTTTGCAACAATCTCTTCAGAGAATAATCTAGTCAGGGATGATTACAAAAACCAAACTCTTTGTAAATAACCAAGGAGTGTATGGAGTCCGATACCAAAACTTCCATTCTTTGATGTAATTGTTATTCATGAGAAGGGGAAAATTCCACATTGGCACTAGTATATTTTACAAAACTACCGACGCAAATACAATTCCTTCCATTCAACTCATGACATCCCAGCCATATTAACAATGTCCCTTATAATTAAGCCCAACGGATATGCACAATTGTCTGTAGTGGCGCCAAAAACGTTAGAAAGCCAATATCAAACAAGAGCCAACTACGCTGATCTTGCACTAATCTATACAGACATAAAGCAGCAGGATGAGAACGCTAACAAGCCGTGCAGTTTACAATCTCGCCGAAAACGGACACGTGTCCCCTGAGCCACCTTATCATATTGCACGCTGCCACGCCGAACTGACCAAGTCGACATGTTCTTCTACACTTGCCCCATTGCCCACTTTCTCACTAATCTATAAAACAATGTATAAAACCCCAAATCTGACCATATTTACATTCAATATAATTGTTAATGTGTTATATGTTTTATGTATACAATATCACAGCACTGGTATAATAAGTCTTCATAAGTCGTAAAAACATTTATAATGTGTAAACTAGCAGTGGTACTGGCGTATATTGATATTGATTTGTACAGCTTCAACAAGCTTATTGTGATAGTCATACATGTATGTCAATATCATTTCTTTTTATCCTTTTTAAGGCACTAATATAAAATAATGTAGTACCCACGTAACCCCATGTAATGGGCATTTACTGCTGCTAGATTACAACGTAGTATTTTACTTCCTTCCGCTCCAAACGTGACTTTCCTACAGAATCAGTGAGAAAAGTGATAAAATGAAAAGCAGCGAAAAAGAGTTCAAATACAGAATGCTCTCCGCGGAACACTTTGGCGTGGTTTCCACATTCATAGCGTTACAATGGTTCGAACTGCAGCACTGCGTGTATTGTGAATATCCACCAGTGTAGACACATTGCGCAGAGCCCTCTGGCGGGCAGTCACCGGCGCTCATGCATCCTCTATCGTGTCGGTATGTATTGGTGGACGCTGTGTTTTGGTTTGTAGCATTGGCCTGAAATAAGTGAAACTTGATATCAAACGTACACCGTTGTTTTAAATGTGAGCATGAAACTTGAACAGGTGAATATAAAGTAAATTACGTTCATCGACAAAGTCTGGGCAGTAAAATAAATGAAATGAATGAAGACAATCAAAACCGTTTGGCTGAGTATTTTGAGCCATACAGTGTGTTTGTGTGTGGGAGGGGGGGGGAGGTATAATGAAACTTATCTATTATCATGATACTTACAAAACATTTGTTTCCCTCTGTGCACGCTGTGACGACAGTGCATGCAGCAGCGCACGACGTAGCATCCGTACATATATTAACATTTTCGCAACTGTAACACAGTAGGAAGGCCTGAAATTAAAACACGCAAATGAAGATATAGACACCATTGTCATATGAATTTAGTATGCTTCCAAAGCCAGTAACTGAAATAACAGAAGTAGTCTATTTTAATACTCTATCTGTTTATATATTAAGCGGGGCGTGACCATTGTTATGTAAAATCCTTTTGTGTAGCCGGTGAATATCCATATGGTAAACAAGAGCATTGTTTAATATATCGAGTTATCAGCTGAAAGTTTTGTCGTGAAATTATAATTGATGCAAGACCATCATTTTTCGTAAAAGCAACATTTAAAACAATTTCTAGCAACAAACGAAGTATGCTTTGACAAACATATCATTAAAACGATTTTCACGAAGCCCCAAATTTGATTTTAAACATTCTCTTTGTTTGACCGTTAATTGAAATTTCGTCTTACTGACCTCTGTTGTTACTGTAGAAGGTGTTGTTGCACCTTTCGTCGTTGTAGATACAGTGACTGAGCTGGTACCGCTAGACGCCACAGAACTTGTTGCAGACGTTCCAGAACCTGCTGCAGACGCCACAGAACTTGTTGCAGACGTTCCAGAACCTGCTGCAGACGCCACAGAACTTGCTGCAGGCGTACCAGAACCTGATGCAGACGCCACAGAACTTGCTGCAGACGTTCCAGAACCTGTTGCAGACGCCACAGAACTTGCGGCAGACGTACCAGAACTTGTTGCAGACGTTCCAGAACCTGTTGCAGACGCCACAGAACTTGCTGCAGGCGTACCAGAACCTGATGCAGACGCCACAGAACTTGCTTCAGACGTACCAGAACTTGTTGCAGACGCCACAGAATTTGTTGCAGATGCCACAGAGCTTGATGAGGATGCCATAGAACCTGTCGTTGACGCTGTACTTACCGTTGCCAAGGAGGATGTCGAGGGTGAGTTTGATGCTGACACCACAGAATTTGCTGAAGACGAGGAACCTGTTTCTGACGTTGAACTCGTAAGAGACGTCCCCGTCGTCGAGAGTGAAGATGTTGACGTTGTCAACGAACTTGCCGTTGCTAAGGAACTCGTTGATGATGTTATTAATGATCCTCCCGTTGCTGACGTACTTGCCGCCGTTGTTATTTGTGAAGCAGTCGCTGCTGAGGAGCTGGTAGACGATGTTATTTGTGAAGCAGCCGTTGCTGAGGTGATGGTCGACGATGATGTGAGTGACTCAGGCGTTGCTGAGGAAGTTGTTGGCGATGAGGAACTGGAGGAACTTAGCATAGAGGATGTTGTGCTTTCAACAGCTAAAACATGCAATTCGAAACCTCAATATCTTGGCGTGATTTCACGAAAATACTCTAATACGTAACTTATGTAATGAACAACATTCATCATCAATTCCACCGTTACAAAATGAAATATCTGTAGCATGTTTAAACGCTGAGGGTGACTAGAGTTCTCTAACTGATCATGGTACATGTCACAGTGCAAAATGTTGCAAACACTTAACTGACTTCTAAGAAAAGCCGGGCAGATACAGACTTACTGAAATTAATTGATATATGGTAATCTCCGCCCGTAACATACGGTAAATACAGATATCCGTTTCATTACGTTGAACTGGCAAATTTGTGCATGAGTTATTTACATTGTCATACTACTACCTGATGAAAAGTGGTAAACTGTAATGGGAATAGCATGCACAAATATCGTCGCATATTTCAGTCGCTAATTTTTTTCTGCAAATTTGTTACAAATCTTCCCATTTTAAAGGGACAAAGATGACTTCAATGACCTTGTATCAGAGAGAAATGATGGAAAACTCGTTGTTTAAAGTATGAGTACTACATGTTATAAGAGGCATTAAACTCTAAAACATTTTCCTCATGGACACAGGTCAGTGGTTGTGACCAATGGTCTAAGGGTTACCAGAGATATCCCATTCCCTTATTTCGACATATTTCTTAACCAGAAGTCTTTGACATTTTATATCAGTCTAAATGTCCTGTGCATTATGCTTAAGGATATCATACGAATACGCGTCGCTTACCTTCGCAAACCCCTGAACTGACGTCATCAGAATATGTGCCGTTTACACACTGAATGGTGGACGTGTTGGTCCCTGCAAACGTGTAGCCACTTCCACACGTGTAGCTGACATTTGCATAATTATGACAACACACGTCACTGCAGTTGATCCCATTGGTTGTTGACCACGTGGCATTTGCTACTTCCTGTGGCGCTGCGCAGTCGAGGTATTCAGTGAGCGCTAACAGTTAAAAGTGATATAGAATTAGATGCAACGAAATTAGATGAACGTATTTGAAACTCTTTGTCCGCGTGATTGGAATGTCTGACATTGGACCATCTTAAATATACCAAAAGTGTGATGAATGTGAGTTCAAGAAACTTAACAATGTTAAATACAAGAGAATGAAAAAATTGATTAAAAACAATCCAACTTACACCTGAAGCACACATAATACCCAAGAGCAGAACAGTTATGCTGCTCCCAGTCCATGTTCGTGTCTACTTTGGCGGCGTAGCACTCTCCCGGAGGGGCGGTGTCATTATGATTGTAGCCAGCGGCCCACGCGTTGGTCCTGGTGACGGTGGTGTTCGTTGCCGAGTACTTCCACACGTCACCGTTGTTGCTCTGGACACCGATCCACGCGGTGGTGATGCCACCAGATCTGAGGAGGCGGAGAAATGGTGTGAGTAAATCTTCTTGCACACGTGAAGATACAAATCAAACAGCTTCAAGCTCATACGTCAGTGTTAATAAATTTTAAAGAATTTCAATTGCAGACACTTTACTTGGTGGGGTGCAATAAGAGAGGCATAAGTAAAGACCCACATTTTCTACAATAAAAATGGTCTCTTTTTCTTTTTTAAGGTGAGCTACAGAGTAAACCTGTAAGTTTTATCTGGTGGCAAGATGGACCACTACGAGCATTTTTCAGTTGAAGAGAGAACAAAGATTGTGTATTTATTTTTGCCCCTCGTATTGTGCCCCACCCTGTAAAAAAGGAAAAGGCTGCAATTCATAAACACTGACGCATGAGTTTGATGTTGATGCCGTACATATCCCGTACATTGGCAAACTTCATTTAAAGTCCCGTCTAAGCATTCCCTTTGTGAATTAGTTCAGAGTTTATAAGGCATTTGTTAGCTGGGATTTTGATAAACTGATTTTAGCACGACAATATCCGCAGTATTGACATACTTACAACTCACTAATCACGTCCAAGTTATATGTAAAGGCTGTATACGAATCATACAGGTACGGCTCTGGAAGAAACCCACATATCGACGTGCACCCATCCACGGCGCCGTTATAATCCGTCTGGCTGTCCGATATACAGACGTCAAAATAGTTACCAGTTGTAAAGGTTGGACAGGCTGCCTCAGCTTAAATGATATGAAAATTTTTTTTTTTTTTTTTAACAAATTTGTGACTGTGAATTGGTGACGAGTGACAAGTATGTATCGCGTCACGTGTGGACCACGTGCTACAGAGTGGATAATCATGTGGTGTCCAAATGGGATCTGATAAATTTATGGCGATGAAGAAACAGATCTACCATTAGGCTTATTCTGAAGCAATACTCAAAAAGAAAATTTACACAACAAAATACAAAAAAATGCATACCTAGTTTTTTTAAGTGTTTTTATAGATTTTCATAAGAAGTTCCTAAGATTTATCTTTTAAAAATCCACTAATCGTTACATTACATACCGAGCACGACGCAGGTGGCGATGGACAACAGAGGCAACGCCAAATTCATCTGAAAAAAATAATAAAAGAATGATGTTTTTTGCCTTTAAACAAAACACGGGGAACCTGCTAACCATTGCTACGGCAAAGCATGCAGGACGATGAAGACAATCATAACACCCACATTGAATGGGCAGTAATGGCAGAAATGTAATGGCAGAAATGACATAGATCTTTAAAGAAACAGTGGCCAAGATGGGATCAAAAACTTTTAGAGAACAATGTGTCAGCTAGTAGTTCAACGACTATCATTCATAAGTTTTGACACAGGTGGTTCTGTCAAAAAAAGGTACGTCACAGAAGCGAAACCCGCTGATAAATGCCAAAAAAAAAAAAAATCAAACTTACGGTTTTCAGGCGGGACACTAAAATAATTGCCTGAAGGTCAATGCACAGATTTTAGAGGTACGATTACCCAGAATATGTAACTCAATGACATTTTTTTTTCTGTTTTAAACTGGCTATTTTGATGACCAATTATTTTGGGAAGCGTAACAATAAAATCATTCTCATGTTACCTCCTCGCTTTTTACTACCCAATTACGATTATTTCTTCATTCATTTATAGTATTCAAATACTTTTTACTACCCAATTACGATTATTTCTTCATTCATTTATAGTATTCAAATACTTTTTACTACCCAATTACGATTATTTCTTCATTCATTTATAGTATTCAAATACTTTTTACTACCCAATTACGATTATTTCCACATTCATTTATATTATTCAAATACTAATATGTTGTGAAATTAACCTTGCCAGTACAAATTCAAACCTTGCTGCTTTTTGTACCTGTAAATCACCAGGTGTTCCTATTTTGGCAGACGTACCTATTTTCGTTTTGAGGTGACAAATGTGCGTGTAAACTGAAATCACGAACTTAGACCACGTACTCTCTGTACAGTGGGGTTGTTTGTCAACCAGGTCACCCGTCAGGTTGACAAAGCTTTTTGTTCAGAAAAATTGTATCGGAAACGCATTAGTGGGGCAATACACAATATTGCGTTCCCTTTACTATTCACAGGTTAGACTTTATTATTACCGTTTATAGAATCGGCACCGCTTAATACGCATTTTTTATTTACATTTACCTACAGTGATAAATTGTTCGCCTTATTTACATTAGTTAATATTGCGAACTAAATAATACCAGCTAATGGAGCAGGGCTGCTACATTGAGGACATGCCCGGGTACGATGGAGTGAATTCGTGTCCTTATAACGCGCACGGCGAATAAGGTTATGAATTGAAAGCACCTCAACGGGAAAGGAGATATGAAATTACTGGATCTGAAAGCATTTGGACTTTTTGGCAGGTTTTCATTTTCATTTGCACTCAATTGATATTTGCCCAGTAGCATTTTGATATGCCGTTTTCGCTGCTGACACGTAAACGATGAAATTTCGGTTTACGCTGAGAATGAACAATTTGCTTCGATTCAAAATGACTGACGTCTAATTCTAATTCTCATTTGATGATAATAAGTTTCAATAATTATTTTTTTAAGAGCTCGAATCACACAGATTAAAAACTGAGCGTAAGTTTTCCTCCCACTCAGAAGAAACGTAAAAAAACGTTTTGCATGTCACCATGGATAGTTTTTGTTTGAGGAGGTTCAAGACACAACACTCAAGAACAAAAATATAATTTCCTATTTATTCACACCACCCATTGCCTATGATTTATATGAACAACTGTGGTTGAACTTGGACGAATAAAACAGTTTTCTTCCAAGGGTTGAAGTAAGCATAGCCGTGCGCTTTTACGGACAACATTAAATCGGTCTCACCTCTGTCGCCAAAAGGGACTTACATTTACGCAATGGAATAAGACTCGCACCAATGTTGAAATAAAAGGAAATAAATTCGACTAAAAACTCTTTAATAACGTCTTTATATTTCCCAGTTATTTCGACTTGATTGCAAACTATAAAATTGAAAATCGTAACAGTATGCTTGTGCTTTACAAAGTTACACGCACAGCAGCGGGGGAAAACATTGTTCCTCTTCCTCCAGAAAAATAGAAAACGGACATTAACAATGCCCATGCAGTGAAATCAAAGACGGTGCTTTGTTGTTTACTTATAACAGGCTTCATATTCAACGAGGCATTATAGCATCGGGCATGTATCATATTCCACCAGTTTGAGTCTTAATAAACTAAAATAATATTATGATTAACGTTTTAATCTGAATTTGGAATGAGCTAGAGGGGCCTTTGTCTGGTTGTCAAAACACTCCATTAGATCAATGCTTTTGATTACTTATGTTACCTGGAGTTCTTAATGCCTGCGTTTGTTAAGTTAACTTTAAGTGAGACCTACCTCTGATTTGCTTAACAATTTGCAGTTGGTTTTATGCGATCAATTTGTGAGTCAAACTAGTCTAGTTATCGTGTAGGGAAAGCTTTGGTGTGACGGCAGGTGCAGCTCACCCCTTAACTGGCAGACAATAATAGAGTCATAACTTTCAAGCAACATATAAAAATGCCTATATATTTGGAGAAGAATGACAGAAATTCATTTAGAATATACAATTACTTACGAATTAATGAAATTGATGGATATTAATTATACAACCTTTTGGTGTAACTCTCTTATTTACACAATATTCTAACTAAGCAAAAAATATAACAAGCCTTAATGAGCACTTTTAATTAACTTGAATAAAATACGATCCAAGTATTTTATCATTGGCTTATATAGCTTGGGATATTTATGGATTTGAAAATTATTTCAGTTCATTTTTGTTTTCACAGCTTTCCTATGTCGTCACCAACCATTCACTAAGAATTCACAAGATAAATAATATGTGTGCTCCCAAGCGTGGCCGAGCTCAAATCTAATGGATATCTTTTATATAGTATCACAGACTTGAGCACATTCACAACGGTTAAGAATAATAAATAATAATGGTTATGATAATAATAATACTCAATACTTTGAGATCGCTCTCCGAATGGATCTCAGCACTGTAAATAATATAGACATTTAAGCTTAGAATGAGAAAGCATAACAAATAATGGACATATACTTGGCCAGACTTGGTGCAAGTAGTTGTCAATAATATGGACATTTCAGCTTACAATGAGAAAGCGCACCAACTAATGGACACACAAACTTGACCAGACCTAACACTGCAGGCAAGTTGGTTATGTGTGCATTATCCGCTGAAACCAAAGAGGCCTTGAGGGGCGCTAGATTATTCCACACATTTCCCTCTTTATGATTTCTATGCATTCCTTTATTAATACAGCTTGCTAAGCTGACCGTACAAGCGGGGGATTGAGAATGGATTGTATTAATGGGAGGGTGGGTAAAACCAATAGTGCACAAGGCAACATTCAAAATAAAGTGTTCTAGTGTGTCCAAACCAATTGCGACCATGTCACGGCACTTTCTAACAGGTAGAGTCGTCAGTACTGATGACTAAACAAAGGATTTTCAATGAACAGCAAGCAAAGGAAATTACAATATAATATATTAGTACAAATGAATAACAACTTGGCTCGGTCAAGTGAGCAATAACACAGAACGCGTTAATCCTTTATAGTCCGAAGTCACTCCTGCTTTGTACGTTTAATTGAGAGCGGTCAGTTAAGGCGGTGATATTTGTATTTATAACTGTCTGACTTATGCTGAGGTTATATTTCTATAATATCACGGAGAAATCCGATATATGCAACTTTCATTATACTGGCCTTGTTTTAATTAAAATGATTCAGAAATGTACAAAAAGGGAATCGATACTTTTAATCGAAAAAGTTGGGAAACGTTATAACAGGGATTTACTGTGAATGGTTTTATCGATGTTGATAATCAAAAAACAGTGAGACATGCATAGAGTTTATAACTCACTTTTCTATTCAACCAGTGATGAGAAACACAAATGAGAGTCTTTAGGCTTAAATGTCTAAGCTATCGCAATATAGGTCTTCTATGTATATAAGAATAATCCTATATTTTGATCTCGTTAGGGCCTATAGACACGGTTTCTCTGCAAAAAAAAAATAATAAAATAAAAAAAATGCCAAAATCATATTTCTTTCGCTTGATTAAATTTAGTTGTTGGTCAGTGATTATCATAGATTATCTCGCTCAATATATCACATATTATAACTCGAGTGGTAGTTATGGGGTGTGCTGCAATAAATTTGCGTCTCTAACTAATTAAATGAAATAATGTGCACCAACATATTTATCAGTCACGTTCCTCCACGGACAGGTCTCCTTCCAGAGTACGATATATCCCAACAAATCATCATGTAAAATATTAATGATAATTGTAAATAATTGACTGCAGCTAGTCATCCAACTATTATTAATGTCGGTTTTCCATTTTTCTGGAGGAATAGGAACAATGTTTTCCCCCGCAACTGTGAGTGTAACTTTTATAAAGCATAAGGTGTTATCCAGCTACCATCTCCATCTTGGTTTGGCCGTTCCACTAGCAATCAACAATAATTAAACCAATAATATTTCGTGACGTCGGAACACACTTATCTTTAGTTTTTTCCTCGAAAAGGAAAAACCCATACAATGCGAAAAATCACCTTACCTTTAATGGTCCAGACAGTAAATGTGAGATCGACAAATAGTTGAGCAAATTTCACCACACACCCTTATTGTTAACCCCTACGCTAATTTGTGCACAGCAGAAGATGTTGACATAAGACCGTTGAATACCTTTAGTTGGTGACATATGATTCTCAGGGGTCAAGCGAACAGAAAAGAAGAAGCAATCACGTGTTGTAGGTGTATTACCGGGGGCAAGGTTATGGGGAAGTTTATCTGTAGGGGTCATCACCATGGTAGCGGGAGGTCAGAGGTGCCGTGAAGCTCAAAGGAGGAACATTTTTAGTCAGGGAGTTCGTTATCTCTTTCCTGAAAAATATGAAGAAGACGCAAGATGGCATTACTGATTACTATGATCCATATCATATTCTATTACCGAGAAAGATATCTTATTCATTTACAAAAGATGTCATTTTGCGCTTTATTTTTCGTTCTATTTATATACCACAAAGCAAACCGACGTTATGTAATTTACTTGTAGAGCGTGGGAACACAATCACATTCAAATGACAACTCATGACACATTGCGATAGAGAAGCCGCGACACAATCTTGATTTGCCCATTAGAGTACTGCTTTATAAGCTTGACCTTGGACCCAACGTGTTGTGTGTTCTAGGTTTGACAAACTCATACACGGGGCCAGGGGAGGGTGGTGAGTGCTTCCCCTCCCCTTTAAAAAGCAAAACAAGTTATCCACCTCTTCCGAAAATATGAGAAAAGTAACCATATTTCCTATTGTAGGAGCTGGGGTGTACAGAAGACTAGACCTCATGAAAATGTTTGACTTTTAACAGAATGTTACATTGGGGGTCAGAATGGGTCTTTTTCCTCTCTTGTTGACCAGGCTGGATAGACTTTTTTTCTGGATCACCTCCTGAATTCGCCACAAGGTTGTCACATGACAGTGGGCACGTTATCAGCCACTGCCAGTTTACCGATAGGCTTATAAGATTATCTCCAAGGGCGAGGTGCGCAGACGGATCCGTTGTGACGGTAAGTTTAGGTCTACCAGGTACCTGTAAGTGTACTATGGGATTCAGGGTGGTTCTTCTGTACAAGTATCTTAAATCATTGAGATAGATTTTTAATGAAGTAGAAGTTGACTGTGTTTTCTACAGGACGTATTTTTCCATTTATCTTAACCAGTGGATAACTTGGTTGTTCCAATCGCATTTATTCCATGTTTTAAGCACAGATTCACCCGTGTGAATATACATATGAACAGAAAAGACCACGTACCCCTTCGCTCATAAGCGCAAGAAAAAGCGCGAGCGCGCTCGCGTGCACACACACACACACACACACACACACACACACTGCAGGAAAACAACACTTCGATCGGCAAGGGTGACAGTGCCATATATTGACCTGGAGTTTGTTGCACGAGGAGATAAATCTGTTAGAAACTGGCACCTATGACCTGGATTTCTTTTTTATTATCGCGCCGCGGAGATCATTTCAGAGAAGGACGCCCCCCTCTCCTCCCTGAGCTTACGGATGAATTTATCAAGTTATTAAATTTAATCTAAAGAGAAAGTTAAATACATCTCAGTTCGTGAAATGTTGAAAAGAGGATAGACAAACATAGAAAACATGGCGGTATGCATTGGTTCAAAGATAGAGTCACTGCTTAAACAGAGCGCGGGATGGTTAAAACCAATTTAGAACATTATTTAGGAGCTTAATAATGTGAGCGTTTTGAAAATATCTGTTTTTCGTTACAGGGTTTTTACACCACTATAACGAGATGGAAAGATTGGGAAAATTTGGCTCTCTTCAAACTAGTTATTACCATAGACCGCTGTCCACTGCTGCTGCCTACGTCACGCTGCCTGAGGTTTTCGATTCCACGGCGAACAGGCTGCCCACCAAGACTGCCGTGGTGGTATACCAGAGTCGAGACAACAGGGAATGCCTGACTTTTGCTGAACTGCAGGTACACTGAAAAAATAATGCCGTGACAAAACAGTAATAGGGGAAAATGGAGAAAAAATATAATTTGATTTTCCTTTAATCAGTTTTCGAAAAGCGTTTGAAACTTCAATGAATTATTTTGTTGATTAGTCTTTTTTAAGAATTAAAAAAAAACTTTTAAAAAATGGTTTATCTTTCTCGTTTCCATTTCCCCTGCTGATTGTTAATCAACCACTTTTTTTCTTTTTTTCATCCAGAACCAATCCAAGACTCTAGCAGCAGCTCTGACGCAACGCGGATATGCTCGCGGTGACCGCGTGGCCTTTTTTGCGCCAAATTGCATCGAATACTTCACCATCCAGTTAGCACTGAGTCGCATTGGCTGCAATATTTTTCTCCTAAGCAACCTCAACGCGCTGGAGTCTGACGTGTGGCAATACAAGTGTCGTGCCCTGTTTATGTACATAAAAAACGAAGAAGAGGTGGACATTTGCAGAAAGTTAGTCGACAGAAAATCTCGCGAGAGTGTGGAAAAAGACGTGATCATCTTTGGTCCAAAATGTGACGTCACCATGGCGGGGACTGTGCCCCTGGACAGCGTCATGGCTGCAGGAGCGGGACATGACTGGGATGACGTCAAAATTGAAGCTGGAGAGGTGGGGTCAAACCCGGATGACCCTTACTGCGTCTTCTTAACATCGGGTTCTACGGGTAAACCCAAAGGAGTCCAGTACACCCATATCAAGTACCTACACCAGTGCAGCGTGCTGCATTCAACGGCTATAACGGAAGACAGCTGCTTCTTCAACGACCGCCCTGTGACTTGGCTGGGCGGTAGTATGACCTTGCTTAGTATGGCGGTGTTCGGAGCGACAGGAGTGACGGTGAATTCTGCTCTGGTGGTCGGCGGGGGAGACGTGGATTTTGTAATTGGAGTCATGAAGCGGGAGATGTGTACAGATGCAGTGATGATGCATTATTTCATGGTGGATCTTCTACGTCGTTATAACCCGGAGATCCACGCGGTACCCTCTCTACGACATATTTTAACAGGGGGCCAGAGGATGGATGTGGACGTCTTAAAGCAGATTCAGGCTCTATTGCCACACGTTGAGTATATCGTGGATAGTTACGGTTAGTTATATCACCAATTGTTGAAATAGACGTTTATCTATTCATTTTTTTAAATTATTTTTTTAAGATATTTACATTCCATTAGCATTCATCTAACTATAATCAAAGTAAATTCTTGTTAAAGACAATATTTATTCAACAGTATATCCTGTGTTCTTTATCCATATTGTACCTACCATCGAACGTGAGTAGTTATCTTTTGCACTTGTATGTTTTCTACAGAGTCACTTTTTTAAAGAGCAGGTTGGGGGGAATGAGCAGTCAATGTTCCCCATTGTCTTTGAGCATAAATACGGGGATACCCCCCTCCCGTTGATCACTCAAAACCAAAACAGTATATTTCAGTTTTGGAAACGTTGACAAGGTACGGAAACACCCGAGAATCACCAAACGGTGCCTTTATTACTTGGGCTATTGGTGAGGGTAAGATTAAAGTGGGAAATAACATTCTTTCGAATGCACCTCACAGGGTCAGAGGCTCGACAGACGAGCGCCATAGTAATCAAGCTAGAGGGCTGATACACATGTAAATGTGTAACCCGTGCTCCTAAAACAATAAACATGATCCTTGACGTTCTACACTCTTGCCCAAAATGGTTGGTACNAGTGCCCTGTTTATGTACATAAAAAACGAAGAAGAGGTGGACATTTGCAGAAAGTTAGTCGACAGAAAATCTCGCGAGAGTGTGGAAAAAGACGTGATCATCTTTGGTCCAAAATGTGACGTCACCATGGCGGGGGCCGTGCCCCTGGCCAGCGTCATGGCTGCAGGAGCGGGACATGACTGGGATGACGTCAAAATTGAAGCTGGAGAGGTGGGGTCAAACCCGGATGACCCTTACTGCGTCTTCTTAACATCGGGTTCTACGGGTAAACCCAAAGGAGTCCAGTACACCCATATCAAGTACCTACACCAGTGCAGCGTGCTGCATTCAACGGCTATAACGGAAGACAGCTGCTTCTTCAACGACCGCCCTGTGACTTGGCTGGGCGGTAGTATGACCTTGCTAAGTATGTCGGTGTTCGGAGCGACAGGAGTGACGGTGAATTCTGCTCTGGTGGTCGGCGGGGGAGACGTGGATTTTGTAATTGGAGTCATGAAGCGGGAGGTGTGTACAGATGCAGTGATGATGCATTATTTCATGGTGGATCTTCTACGTCGTTATAACCCGGAGATCCACGCGGTACCCTCTCTACGACATATTTTAACAGGGGGGCAGAGGATGGATGTGGACGTCTTAAAGAAGATTCAGGCTCTGTTGCCACACGTTGAGTATATCGTGGATAGTTACGGTTAGTTATATCACCAATTGTTGAAAGATGCGTTTATCTATTCATTTTTTTTTAAATTATTTTTTAAAGATATTTACATTCCATTAGCATTCATCTAACTATAATCAAAGTAAATTCTTGTTAAAGACAATATTTATTCAACAGTATATCCTGTGTTCTTTATCCATATTGTACCTACCATCGAACGTGAGTAGTTATCTTTTGCACTTTTATGTTTTCTACAGAGTCACTTTTTTAAAGAGCGGGTTGGGGAATAAGCGGTCAATGTTCCCCATTGTCTTTGAGCATAAATACGGGGATACCCCCCTCCCGTTGATCACTCAAAACCAAAACAGTATATTTCAGTTTTGGAAACTTTGACAAGGTACGGAAACACCCGAGAATCATCAAACGCTGCTTTTATTACTCGGGTTATGGGTGAGGGTAAAATTAAAGTGGTTAGTCACATTTTTTGGAATGCACCTCACAGGACCAGAGGCTCGACAGAAGGTAATCAAGCTAGAGGGCTGATACACAAGTAAATGTGTAACCCGTCCTCCTAAAACAATAAACATAACATCAAGCCTGTACGTTCTATTTGTTAAATGAAATCTGATGCTTTTTTACAGGGTCTGCTGAGTGCGGCCTTGTTTCAGTTGCCCGGTGTTGCCACACCTACAAGGCTTCTGACGGTGAAGAAATTTTCGACGGCATCGAAGTGAGAATCGTCGACGAAAACCACCGAGATGTCCCTCGCGGAACCAGCGGCGAAATCTGCG